CTCATCCCATTAAGGGGGACAGAAAGAGCACCTGGGTGGGCATTTAGTGATCAGCCAAGTTTATCCCACACAACACTCCAGGCTGAAGCCTCAGATTCATCTACATATGTCACTCCAAAAATAGTGCCTCCTATTTATTTCCACAGAAATAACAATGAATTGCAGAATAACACTATTTGATAAAGCAAACACAACACTCACCACCATTAGCAGATTCACATGGATTAACTGACTGTTTGATGTTCTTCATTTCATGGTGTGACAGCAGTGAATGTCCATCCAGAATGTAACATCTTTCACATCACTGTTGCTGCTGCTGAAACACACCACCACCACCTCACTGTACTCACATCCACTGCTGGTCTCCATAAATGTTCTGCAAGCATGTTGAATGTTAGTAGGTGCCATTTTCTCCACAGGGAAGAGTTCAATGACACCCCATTGCTTCATATGCACGTCCATCTCAGACACCATTTTGTCAAACTACCCCTCTGCTGCCATCTGTTCCATCGCAACAACATGTAATGGGACATTATTGGGTATATTCAACCTCTGCTGCCATACCACCACCATCTGCCTCTGATATCGGGAGCCAACAAAATACAGTTTCAGAGCAGCCTGCATATATATGAATGTGTGGGAATTCTAAGTGGACAAGAGAACTTTCAGATGTCTGGAAAAAACATTCCTACAACAAAGATAAGGTCTTTTTAAGAATTAGACAAAGAACTTCAGAATGGTCAGTCTGGCTGCAATTTAGAGCATAAGAAGAAATACAGCAAACATTCAAGTAAATAACCATGTTGGTACCTAGAAGATGATGAGGAACAGTTAAGGATTTGAGGAAAACAAACAAAAATGTTCTAAATTTTGTGGTTAGGTAGGATGTTTAATATAATTAGAATTGTTTGTCAGGTTTCATTAGAAGTAATGTGGTCCAACTCCCCTACAATGAATCGGGACACCTACAGATACATCAGGCTTTTCAGAGCCCCACACAGCCTGACCTTGAATGTCTTCAGAGACAGGACATGGACCAACACTCTCGCCAACTTGTTCCAGTGCCTCACCATCCTCAAAAGGCTTTTTCTTTATATCCAATCTAAATTGGCCCTCTTCAAGTCTGAAATCATTTCCCCTTGTCTTAACAGACCCTGCTAAAGATTTTGTCCACTTCTTGCCCCCTCTTAGACACTGAAAAATCTGCTCTGAGGTCTCTCCAGAGATTTCTCCTCTGGAGTCTGAACAGTCCTAAGTCTCTCAGCTTGTCCTTATAACAGAGGCATTCCATCTGCAGGATTATTATTGTGGCCCTCATCTGGACACGGTCCAACAGGTCCACATCTCTCCTCTACTGAGGACTCCACATCTGGACACAGTACTGCAGGTGAGGTCTCACCAGCAGAGTAGAGGGGCAGGATCACCTTTGCTGACCTGCTGGCCATGCTTCTTTTGATGCAGACAAGGACGTAGTTGGCTTTCTGGGCTGCGAGGGAACATGGTTGGCTCATGTCCAGCTTGATATTTACTGGTATTCCTAAGTCCTTTTTGGCAGTATAGCTCTCTATCCTTATATTCCCTGGCTTATACTGATAGTGGGAGTTACCATGACACAGGTGCAAGATCTTGCATTTGGATTTGTTTTTTGTGAGGTTCACCCTGGGCCCATTGCTTGAGGCTGGCCTTGGGATGGCATCTTGTCCCTTGGGTTTGTCGACTGCACCACACAGCTTGGTGTCATCTGCAAACTTGCTGCACTCAGTGCCAGTGCCTCGGCAGCAAAAAATGTTATGTAGTCTTAATTGACAATCTTTGCAAGTAATCCAGGGTAACATAAACTGAGCTGAATGGCTGATAAGAAAAACAGTCAGAATCTCAGTGTGGTATTGCATCCATTTATAAGGGTGTGCTGACATGGAAGAAAGACATATGAAAATGACTTCAGATCATCTTCTTCTAAGTCTGTACTACCTGACATTTTCATTAATTGCTTGTAAGAAGGGAGCCTGTAAAGATGCACAAAGAATTCAAGAAAAGATACAGAACCATTTACAGATGGCATTTAGAAAGAAGGGACTGGAATTATCTTAGGAGATAAAGAGTTCAGACTGGTCTTCAAAAATTAGGGAAAGCATCCTACATTTAGAAATAATAGCATAAATACAAGCCATTTCTGGCTATAGAAATGAGTCTGGTTTTATGGATGATATCAGAATGAGGCAACAGCACCATATTGTTGCAAAAACAGGCAAATGGGACATATGACAATTTTATCTCTTAGTGACACAACTCCTCTGCATAACAAATAAGCAAGTACCATGTCCATTTCTGAACATCACATATTGGAAAGAGGTAGTCTGCCAAACAGTAGCAAAATCAAAGACTAAGAAAATGCATTTTAACAGAGAAACAATGTAGAAACAGCTGTTGTTTTACACAGAGAAAAGAAGATTGAGGCAAAAACATGCAGAGATCCTCAGACATGTAAAGGCAGCAGTAATGACAAAAATCTTACACAACATGGCACAAAAAAAAAGCAACTAAAGGTGTTTTAGAATCAGGATAAATACTTAAGAGAATGGAAAATGAATAACTGAAACAGATTTCCTGTAGAAGTTATAGAATCCTAACAGATAGAATGTTCCTGCAGCATACTGAACAACAACAATCAGAAGTAATTTTGATAGGGGTGGGAAAGAATTTACAAACAAACAAATGAACAACCACCTCCACAAACACTGGTTTGTTTAGTGGTAACTTTCTAAGTATCAGAATGCAATTAATTCCAGATACTTTCTTGTGGCTTGTGGTGTGATAAAAGGAGTTGACTGTGATCATCTCCTTCAATTTCCCCATTCATCAGCCTAAAATACACCTTAAATTTGGAAACGTGAGTATGTTGGTTTGATTAAATTGACATCTGAAGAACAAATTTGGTGTTCTTTCCCTATGAAAATTCTCCTCAGATTCTCTTCCCTTGTTACCCCATTTAGGGCTTCAGTTATCAGTGGAATTCCAAGCTGTTTGGCCCTTAATGGTGGAGTTGTTCAGCCCTGTGAAAGCATTGCAAGAAATTAAGCCCTCATTCTGACCTGCACTGCAGCCACAGCATGCTGCTGAGGGCTCATGGAGAATTCCGTTGCATACACTTGGTTGTCACATCCACTGCATTGCACAGGCGGATCCCATGCAGCAAGAGATCTGTATAGGACAAGGCCACAACAGCAAGCACCAAAGTGCCTGGTTTTCCTCTCTTCCCCCTCACCCTTTTTTTTTTTTTTTTTTTTTAAATCCTGACTCAGAGTCAGCATCACCTCAAAGGTAGCTCAAACACTTCACTGGATAAGACACCTGTATGTGTTGGAAGCGGTAACTGAACTAGGTAATTATATCCACCACAGTATACTATCTTATATCTGACTGTGTACTTATATATATATTTTGTGTTTTGCTATTGCACTTCTCAAAATGCAAAACAAAACAAAATCAACACAAATCAACTAAACAAAAAACCCCACTCCCCTCCCCCCTAAAATAAATTAAAAAATCCATTTGCATCAATTCTGTTCAAAGTGGCGATAATCTTTATATATTTAAGAAAATAAAAATTAGAGGAAATCCTATGATAAAGTAACAAAAAAATCACATGTTCATTTCTGTTTTTGCACCCAGGTTTGCTTGCATTAGGAATTGCAAAGAACTGCACTCTAGTTAACAGGCAGTCTGTCAGAGCCTCTCTGTAAATACTGACAGTAAAGGGAAGTGCTTCTTCATTCCCAAATGACCAACTTCATATTAAGCTAGTGAAGTCAATCTTAACTTCAGGGAGCACCCAAAGTCAGCCTTTATTTTGGGATAAAAGAGTTCCTTAGAAAAAGGGAAAACACTACATATAGCTACCCCAGGAAGGTCACAAAGTTGTATACACTGCAGTTCACCTTAAAACAGAGCAGTCTTCTTCACCAGCAACTTCAACACCAAAAAATACTTCTAGGCATTGCATAAAAGAAAACTTTGGCAGGCACGTGCCATTCATTGTGTTCAGTTATTTTATTTTTTACTAACCAAACTCAAAAGAAATGCACAGATAAGTTTCAGTTATTAATACATAGTTTTCTAGAAAATATCCCCCTTCATGTTCTCTCCAACAAGCCATGTATCCAAATATTTGCAGTCCAACTACAAGTAACATGAGTTTTCTTCTCCATTCCCCCAAAGGGACTTTTTCTACTTTAATATAAAGTATTGTAAACCTCTTATTTAAAAAGCAAGATTCAGGAAAAAAAAACTTAAACACTTTTTAAGATTGCTGTCCGGCACTGAACAATTTTAAGCAGTTTCTTTTGGTATGGTCATTCTTGCATTTTTCACTCAGGATTAGGTCTCTAAGAATTTTAGATTTAAGGCAGACAACACACAGTTCAGAAATACATTAGCACATTTGTAATGATATGGCATTTTCAGTAGACATTATCAGTATTTTTGTAAATTGCTGTGCATTTCAGAATGCTTCTTCACTGTTTAACAACAGCCTTTTCCAAAAGTCCTCCTGTAGTTCTGTGTTCCACTCCTGCTCTCAGAGTCTATCCTCCAGCTTTATGCGCTCATACATTCCTGAAAAGTTTGCTTTCTTTACACAAAAGTAACATTTCTTTATACTTCATGCAGTAACATCTTTTCTCAAACATTTCAATACAGTTGGCCATATCTCAAGCAAACACAACAATTAAAGACTTGGTTTCTAAAACTAATACAAATAATTTAACATCTTTTTAATAGTATTGTCTGTATGTAATTATCTCAACAATGGAAGCTTTTAATCAATAATACGACTTGACAAAGTTTGGGCTTCTTTTCTTGAAAATCTGTTCCTCCTCAGGCTTATTACATGACTGTTGCAAGGTTGTGGTGCATGTTTAAAAATGGATTTTGAAGCTTAGGCTATTTATACTGATGGGTAACAAACCAATGTTATATTACATTAGACAATACTTGTAGACTTTTTTTTTTTTTTTTTTTTTTAAGATACACTGTGCACTTACAGGAAAATCCTTTCACTTAAAACAAGTGCAAAGCGGTAGTTAGTATCTTAATTCTACGTCATAGCAGCAGTCATGTATGCATAAAAACAGCACTTCTACAATAAATCACAGCATTTTGGGTGGCATATTGACTACACTAAAGTGTGACAAATGCAATGCCAACTGAATAAAGTTTCAAAAATAAAAATATGATTCTGTTAATAAAAATACTATATAAAAATATGGCATTCTACAAATCTACAATAGATTTGCTCTTGAAATGCAGTTTTTGTGGGTTTTTGTGTGTTTTTTTTTGTAAATTTCATTTTATTTTTAAAAAAAGGATACTACACATGGCATTAGCAAATTCAACAAATCATTGCATTTACATCCTTTACAGCTTTTTGAGAAAACCATGATTCTGTCTGCTCCAAGACCTAAACATTGACACTGCAGATGATCACACACATCCCCTGAGTCTTAAGCACTACTTGGTCCTATTCATCCAGTTAAGAATACTTATCCTGGATGATCAAGCCCTTTGCACAGACCGACTTGGTACAATTGATTACATATGCTCCTGACCAACAGCACAAAATTATACTGCAGTGTAAGGATATGGCTTTCTCTAAAAATTATAAAGTACTGAAGTAAAAAGTCCACAAAACTTAAAAAACTATCCTTGCATTCCACACTATATTTAAGCAATCAAACAGACTATGTAATCAATTATACGGTAGTAGAACAAGCAAGACTTTTTATTCACTTGAAAAAATAGCAGACTGGAAGATCTCTTCATTGCATTACACAAACTTCCCTGAGATTTTTACATAAATTATGTTTAGTCTACTATATATTGGAAACTAGTTAGCTATCAACTGCCACACACTGCAAATTTTACATGGTTCCTGCATACATTACCCCCAGCTAAAATGCTGCTTCGATGCTTTAAAGCTTTATCTTCTTTTGCTACAAAAAACACGTACACGTAACTGAGTACAAATGCAAAGGTGTTCCTTGCCTGAAACTTCTACATTGTCTTAAAAGCAGCATACAGAAACAGAGAAAACACATATATAGGAGTACTCTAAAGTTCTTTGCAGCTTGTAAACTGCTGGCAAAAATCAGTTTGACGGTTCTGTGAAAGAGTTTCATAGGAAGAAAACCCAACAAAATTTTTATTAAATGCAAGGGGCAGAAAGAGGGCTGATGCTACCATCCCTACTTAGCAATCTCCCATATTATAAAATCACAATTTTGAATGAGCAATTGTGGGAAAGAAAGATCACAGTGGTACAAAACATTGCTATACTGGCACTATGTTACACTGAGCAAGAAATTCCTACTTTTTAATTATAGTCACTTAAGCTTCTGAGTAAATAGATGTAATTAATCATGAATTTAATGAGGCCTCACAACAAAGTATTCCTTCTATTCCACAAATTCACTGCCACAAATTTCAAAAACGAACATTTCACTTTAAATACACGTATGGATTTTAAGGGTTTGTGAGCTTTTGTAGCCTTAATTGAACCTCAGCAAAAGTTCAAGAACAACAAGCATTGTACTTTACAAACAACATCTAAGAATATGTAAAAATAACCAGATCATTTGAATTTAAATAAACAAAAGCCTGAAACCTTCTCTGCTTTAAGATACAAGATTATTCTCAAGTTTCATGCTTGGAGGCAAAACCTATTAGTTGCCTTGTCCACAAATTTGTTAGATTTGCTTCAGAAGTGGAATTACACATAGTAATCTGTTCAGGTAACTTCGACCTCCTTCCAGTTCTCATTAACTAGGATCATGTTCTTGCCTTTAGCTAAATGTGAAGCAACTGCACTTATACTTTCCTCCTTCCAAATGGTCACAGGCTAGGTCTTAAAACAGGAAAAAAAAAAAAAAAAGAGATTTTTAAAATGAATTGGCCCAAAGTCAACTCAATGACTTTGAGTAGTGACTGACCATATCATACACTGAGCAATAAACCTTCTTTTTAGCGTACTGGAAGGAACATACAAGATCATGATCATAACAAAGCAAGGAATTGAAGGGCATTTTCTATATTTTTAATTCTGTTTTTAGGAAGTTTCCAATTTACAGGTACACTGAGGACAGCATAAAAAATACAAAGCTGGAAAGAGTAAAAGAGCAACATTCAGAAGCAGTACGTTTGGCTTTTTCATATTCAGAAACAATCTGAGGACAGTCTTATACAAAGTGTCTTCAGTTCTACTTGCTATCACTGTATCCTCAAACATGTAAAGGGAATCTAATGCTTACAGGAAAAGAATATGAAAAAAAAAATTAAGTTTTTTTTTCCATTTTAAATTACAATTCTCACACAGGTGAGTTATCTGACTGTCCAAATTACAAACGATTCACTTCCTTTTTCTTCCCCTAGAAATACTTACAGTATATCACATAGCCTATGTTTCTTTGCATATACTGCTGACTGATCATTGATTCAGACAGGCACATTAAAAGTTGTGGATTACATAACCAATTCCATTTTGATATACAGAGAAGCCACTTCTGCAGCAACAGTGAAAAGTTACAAAAGCACATTAACAAAACAAAGCCCTTGTGCAACACAAAAAAACATGGTGTGCAGTCACTCACTATATATTCACAGTGGAAAGACTACATGTCTTTTCTATGTATCTCCATTTCAACAGGGAAATAGTCTTATCATTTCTTAATCTCACCATATTTTGTCACCTCTTTTTTGCATTGCCAAATAAGGCAAATAATGGTGTTGTAGACCGACCATATATTATATTATTCAATTTAGAAAAATAATTTCTTTCCGAATTGAGAATTTCAACATGTTCTCATAGTAACAAATATATCCTGATCAAGAAAACCAGCAGGATTCCTCAAGTTTGCAGATTCATATAAGATACTTGCCATGCAGATTTTACTCCTAGCAAAGATGCACATGTGCAAATATGTCAATTATACATACACAGCAAACCAAGTACGTTTTGTTCTGCATCCTAATATATGCTCTTAAGCAGGGACAGTTTCCTCATCCACCCATGTTGTCCCTTATTTGATCCACTCGCTGAGCAAGATCCCTAAAGGTGGGCCGCTGAGTAACATTATTGTTCCAACATTCTTTCATGATAGCATAAATCTGGGGGAAAAACAAAGAAAATAAATATTATGTAAATAGATAGTACAGATAGTTAGTTAAGTGCAAAGACTATCCAACTTAACTGCATTCTTCCACGCAACAGTGACACAATAGTATAGCAAGATTTTAGTAATAGTCATCAATCTCCTTGCTTAAGGACAGCAAAAGGCCTTTATGGAGATTTTCTCTCTTCTAGTTATTATAGAAATTGACTGATTTAATTTTCAAAGTTTGTAAGATGACACAAAAGCAAACTGAACCCAATAATATTAAAAACAGATCAAAAATTGTTTTTTGAAAATACGTGTATTCTGAAAGACATTTAGCCACGCTTCTCTTTCTCCAAACATGCACCTGGTATCTGATTACAGAACAATAGTCCTACAACATTCTCTTCATTTGTATTCTTTTCACTAATTTAACCCAGATTGTAAACAGATTCTCATTCTTCCAAAAATTTCTGCTTAACAACTATATGAAAATCTCGAGACAAAAGTAGCTTTCAATTCTCCACTTTTCAGCAAATCTGAAATTCTCACATTGACCTGAGTCTAAAGCAGCCTGTAAGCTATGAACATCTAGAAGGTTTCAAGATCTGTGGCCTTTTAGGATCAAAATGGGATGATCATAGTTTCTAACAGAAGAGAGGCATTGCCATCTTGCTTTGTTAGCTGAAGTCAGACAACAGAACTTAATGTTTCAACAAAACAGATGTAGTACTATCATATTCATAGGACATCCAGATTATCTATGAAATCTTCAAACCTTCGTGATTCAACAACTGTTGTACTCATAAGCATATGTGCAATGGTTTCCCTGCCCCATCTGTATCATTCGTTCTCTTCTCTGCTAGATCTCTCCACCTTGGTCTCTCCTATCTGCAGTTTTGTAGGAATTATTTCAGCAATTATTGCCAAGTGTGTCTGATAAAGAGATATCTATCCAGACTAGAAGTTACAGGAAAAAAAAAAAATAGTGTATCTATTTTAGTTACATTCCTTCCTTACTGACTTACCCAGCCCTATCAATTTGACTCAAGTTGAAGTGCACCCTCCTCAAAAGAATAGTGAAGTAAAAGGCTTAGAAATAGTAAGGGAATATTTTTAAAACACCTGGAGTATTAGCAAATTAAACAACTTGGATTAACATACTCTCAAGATTGTTTTGGAGGCATATACCAGATCAAGCATGAATACAAATCCAAAGGCCATGAACAGATAAAATCCAATTCATATACTTCACTGCATGCACAATCTGCATGCAGCACCTGTCCAAGAATGCTTGATGATTAATAATACACATGATAAACATATGTAAGTATTTCTATGTTTGAGGAAGGAAGAGCAAGAGAGGGAAATAATAAAGCGTTTTTTAAGTCTCAGAATTAAATATGATTAATTGAACCCTAGGTAGATACTAAAGTTTCTCTCCTAAACATCAGAAAATTTACAATACAGTTTTGAGCAAGAAAGTTTATGAGTCTTTTATGAAACAAATTCCATACACTAAATTTCACTGTCTTATTAAATTTACATTTTTTAAACAGAAGCCCCAGTGCTCCAGTGTAATAGTCATAATAGTCCTATTTCACATATTCAGAAAGACTACATTATAGGCTCTTGAGCGAGTATAATCTAAAGTATCATAAAACCAAATGTGATTATACCATCATATAACTGATAAAATAACAGCACAACAATTCAGGCTGTATAAATTCTTCCATAATCCACAAAGAAGGAAACATGAGGTTTGCATTTACTATATAGTCACGCTTACTGTGCACCTTTAAGACTACAGTAATATATTACTATAATAATACTTCACCTCATCAGGACATCCATCTGGTCTTGGAAGTCGTCCATTGTTCTTCAAAAGCTCTATCAAATGAAATACAATCATCTGCCCTTGTTTATCATTACCAATCATGCGCATGAATTCCTGAAATAGAAGGCCAGGTATCATAAAAAAGATTTGAAAGGGAAAAAAATATGCTGTAAAATCATTACCCTCTTTACTCTTTATAAGACAAATCTCAGAAATTCTATGAATAGCATATTAAATAGCAAAGATAAAATTATAAATGACAATTTCTGATAATATATCAACAATCACCATTCATTCTTGGGGGAGCAAGGGGGAACTAGGATTATAGATATATGATTTAAAATCTTGTTTTATGTTATGAACCATAATCTGATGATTATCCAGTTTTAAAAGATCAAATCTTACTGCTAATTCTAAAGAGATCCCTGAAATGTTAAAATTTGGATGCTTTGAAAAACACCTGTCAAGCAAAAAGCAAATAATAGCATTACAAAATGTTATATATATATATATACATGTTGTTATATATAATAACATTATGAAATGCATAAGAAAGATGAACTGGATTAATCAACAATTAGAGGCTAGAAACGATAGCATAATTAAACTCAGTTAAAAATAAGCAAATAAATAAGTCTTGCTAGCCAAAAATCAACATAACCCTGAAAGTAGACATAAAAAATTCTCTCAGATTGCCAGTGATCTAAAGTAAATGAGGAAATGTTATTAATGGAAAATAATTTCTAAGCATAACGTAAAGGGATTGTTTTTCTTCCAGTGCTACATAAATGTCTTTAATGGTGATAATACGAAGATGTGAAATAACTGCTTGTAGAATGTGCAAATGCCAAAGTCAGTGATACAGGTAACAGTTACAATGATGATGACATGCTGCTTTGTCAAATTGATAAAAATAAATTTTTCTTGATACATACCAAGAGAGCAGCCTGGCTCTGATCATGAAATCATGAATACACAAAATGCTTATTTACTCAAAGTATATTCCATGACATACTATATTACTTTCCATTTCATAGTCCTTTTGAAAAACTCCACATATCTGCATTGTTTGGTGTCAGACAAGGAAAGCTGTCCCTGCTTTGAGAATTTTTTTCTCCACTGCATGCGTCAGTACAGATTAGGGTTTGAGCTGCTGGAAAGGAGCTCTGCAAAGAAGGACCTGGGTATTCTGGTGGATGGCAGGCTGCCCATGAGTCAAGAGAGTGCAGCCAAGAAGGCCAATGGTATCCTGGCATGCATTAAAGAGTATGGTCAGCAGGTCAAGGAGGGCAAACCCCCTACTCCTAGTCTGCCCTAAACCTGAAGTACTGTTCCAGTTCTGGGCTCCTCAGTTCAAGAAGGATGGGGAACTTTTAGACAGAGTGTAGTCGAGAGCCACAAAGATTATTAGGGGCTGGAAGCATCTCTCTTATGAGGAAAGGCTGAGAGATCTGGGACTGTAAGGCTGAAGAATAGAAGACTGAGGGGGAATCTTGTCAATGCTTGTAAATATTTAATAGGAGGCAGTTAAGTGGGTGGGGCCAGGCTCTTTTCACTGGTGCCCAGTGACAGGACAAGGAACACAAACGGCAACCCAGGAAGTTCTAACTGAACATGAGAAACAACTACTAAGAGAGTGACAGAACAGGCTGCCTGGAGAGGTTGTGGAGTCTCCTTCTCCAGAAGAAGTGAAAACCGACCAGGATTCTTGCCTGTGTAATCTACTCTGGTGAATGTGCTTTAGCAAGCGGTAGCAACTAGGTGATCACCAGATCGATCCTATGATTCTGTGGTTCTGTGATTCCTTGAAAGGTTTTAAGATTGCATAAAATTACTAAGTTTTACTGATTTTGATGTAGAGGTCTGTCAAATATATTTTGCCTACAATTTTTGTTTACCTCTCAGAACTACATTTGCCAGGACTGAGACACTGGTGGACAGTGAAGACAGCTCTAGTAAACATTCAAGTTACTTCTCTGTAATGCCTGCAGGGCAATTGTAGGTAAAAGTAACATTATGAACTTCATTTCCAACTGGAGAGCTGTTCTGCAGTAAACAAGTAGTACTTTCCTTCATTTAGTGTGTGTCTTTAAAGACACTTGTGCATGAAAAGAAAAACTCCCTTTCCTTTCTGAGCTTCGGTTAATTAGCTTGGGTTTTGCTAAGATGACAAAGTAACTTTAAGAGTTACCTCACTTAAACCAACTTAAGGTTGAAGTATTTGCTTGGCTGGGCCTTAGATTTGGGGTAGTATTAAAAATACTTGTAATATTACAATGGAACAGCTTCATCTGGGATCTCTCTATAAAGAATGAGAAAGATAAGTCTCTAATTAGATATTTTCAAATCTTTTCTGAACAGACTATTTTCCAGATAGCCTTTGCTTTTTACACCTAGATGCTAATGCTTCTCAGCATGCAACATTTGGATGTTGTCTCAAACACGAAAATAGGCTCCAGAAAAGGCTCGGTAAATATCAACCTATCTAAATACAGAAAAAAATCCATACACTTATTTTTTTTTTTAATAAACAAATAAAAATCTCTGGGAAAAAATAATCAAGTACTTACAGCTGGTGGACTTTTGCTCTTTTCAATGTAAGTGAAGAGTTCATACAAGACCACACCAAAACTCCATACATCTGAAGCCACAGAAAATTTGCTTTCTGTCAGAGACTCTGGAGCATACCTGCAACACATGGTAAAATAATATAATTCTGCATCACTTGCATCTTTCCAGTCTTTAAGATATTTCTCTGAATAGGACTCTTTTTTTCACGAGTAAAGTACCTTTTGTTCATAGGCACTACCTTCACTAGTAAAAGTGAACAAGTATTCTGATAATAGTAGTTAACTGGTACGTAAGAACTGATATTTTTCCTGCATCTAGTGAGGGTAAACAAGATTTTGACATGGTAAGGACTGGAAATAAATACAGTTATAACTAATAAGTATATTTCCACCACTTTCAGTAAGCTTTGAATTGTGCCCCATGCATTTGTGGGCTTAATTTTTTCAGATCAATAACATCTACTGTTGACACCATTTTATATTATTTTATTTATCCCTTAAGTACTATATTTTAAGGTCACCTATGGCAGCTATATACACTAAAATCACAAGTATGAAGTGGCATTTTGAATACACAGAAGTACCTACTCCAAATGCAGCTGTATCAGGTTTACCTGACAAGTTTTTGGTAGCAAGAGACTGCAGGGGTGCCTCTGTGAGCAGAGCCCAGCAGCTGCCCCATGGCAGATCAGAGCCAACTCCAGCTGCTCCAGCAAGAACCTGCCACTGCTAGAGCTGAGCTATGAGCAATGCTGAATGTTACTGGAAAAACTGCTGCACAACAGCAGCTGGGTGAGGGGAATGAAAAAAGTGTGAGAGAAGCAGCCCTGCAGAACCCAAAGTGCAGAAGGATGACAGGTGCTCCAGATGGGGAAATTCCAGGCAGCTCAGGATCAGCCCATGGTGGAGTAGGCTGTCCCCCTACAGCCCATGAACACCATACAGAGCAGATATCCACATGCACCTAACAGAAGAGCCGAAGGTGTAGCAGTGTATGTGACTAAAGAAGGCTGAAGCCCATGAAAAGCCCCTGAAGCAGCCCCAGGCCATTGCTGCAGCGCAAGGAGCCTATGGTGGGGCAGGAGGGCTTGGGGAGCTGCCACCTGGGGGGACCTGAGCTAGAGCAGCCCACTCCTCCAGGATGTGCCCCACCTTAACATTCAACCTAATACTTTATCCTTGCTAACTTGTCTGTGTGATTTAACTCCACTTGGCCAACAGATGGTTCACCCAACAGATCTCAGCTAGAAGATATGTATTTCTGTTTAAGGATCCAAAACTTACAGAAACCCACTAGTCAGTAAGCTTTCTAGATTTCTTTCATCTCTGAATACATTCCCTGAGGCAGTATTTAATTTGTTAACTACAATTTTTTCAGGATTTTTTTTTTTTTTTT